AGTTCCTTTTTCTTGCTAAATTCATCAGTTCTGAACTGCATATGAGGCTATAGAATTTAATTGTGAAAAATAAACTTCACATATTTTAGAGGCAAGTTAGTTTTATAGTCAATTAAAATTCTAAGGACATATATGGCAGTGCTTATACAGTAAATTTTTTGAAGGGACAAATGCATGGATATGAGACTATTAATTTAATAAGACATAAGAATTTGATCATCTTTGAACGGTCAGTTGTATACCTAAACATTAACTTTTAATACTTTTAACTCTTTTGTGTTATAGAGCTGCTTTGGATTCTAAGTTTTGTTGTTATTATTCAGAAAATACATATTCACCTAAAACAATTCTGCATTAATTAAGAAGTACATGATATCTGCCTAATATGTATGCCACAGTCTGCTAAGAATTCTCAAAAATTAAGTTTCAGATGGTACCATAGAGCAATTTACATGGTATTCAGGAAAAATGCACCGAAGATCACTATGCAATTAAGTGCCAAAAGTTTGGTCAAGACAGTTCTTGCCTGAGGGATTAGTAAAAAAAAATATGATGCTGTAGGTGAAATGTGGTCAAGTCTTAGATAATAAATAAATGTGTGTGGGCAAAGAGAAGGAGAGGAGAGACCATTTCACGTTGGTAAAGAGCTGAACCAGGATGCAGAGGTGAGAATGACTAAGTACATTCAGAGATACACAGGACTGTTTGATGGCAAGTAAGGAAAGCACAAACCAAACTGGCTTTAGCAGAAAGAAAATGTATGGTTTTATGTAACCAGAAAGGTCCATGGATGGGATCTGGCTTCACTGATGGATAGATTCAGAGTTCAGTTCAAGCTTGCTTTCTTTGCCCCCAACCTGACTTCCTTCAGCTGGGTTTAGTTTGACATCAGTGTACCAGTATGTGGGAAGCACCTCTTGGCCTACTATTCTCTCAAAAGTGAGATCCACTATAAAGTTGAAGTCCTAGCAAGAGACTCACTTGCATTCTACTGATTGGGTCTGGTGCCCATTCTGAGCCAGTCATAGATATTGAGAAATGCAGTAAGCTCAGTCTTGCTCTGGTATAATCCCATACTCACCTTACCCCCAGAATGGAGTAGAGTCATCTTCACTGGAATCACAGATTATGGGAGTGAGGAGTTCAAAGTTCTAAGGTATGGTTAATTAAGGTAAGCAGGGTAAATGCATGCTGTCCCATAAAATCCAGTGTCCACTAAAAGGAGACAATCAGCCTACTGACTTTACAGTAGAAAACTGTACTGTAAGCACATTGCCAAGGATAGTACAAGGAATTGCCCTTTATGAGGAACTGTAAATAAATCAGATCTTGTGCAAATTGACCTGTCAGTTGTGTGCAGGATGTACTAGGCATTAGGTGTTCCGAAGACAAATGGGTGACCTCTGTTGGACTTTCCCATATTTTAAAGCCACAGAGCCATGGAGTACCTGTTGTGTGCTGTGAACTGTGGAGAAGGCAGAGATATTTAAGACTTGATCTTGGCCCTTCAAAGAGTCTACAATGTGGTTAAGGAAAACAGTGTCAATAATGGTGTAGGCAGGATGAATGGAGGTAGCAGTACATAGTAAACTGTCTGGGAATAGAGAAGGAAAAAAGCTTATAAAATTAACCACAAATCTATGGAGCTGGGGAGAAAGCAAGCCAGCGGCCTGGGAGCAGAGACCTATGAACAGACACCCTCTGAAACATCTTTGAGAGCAAATCAGTTGGGAACACTCAATGTTAATTGCCGTCTCTGAGGCTATTATAAGGATGGGCAGGAAAATGCTTCTCTGTCATGAAACCTAGGTCTCCCTAGGAATTTACAGGCCCTGAAATCTATAATGGGGTTAGACTCAGTGAAGAGTGACTCGCTGTTCCTGAAAAAGGTTTATTCCTGATGAGCAGCCTAGGGACACCCTTATCTTTTGCCCTCTCTGGGGTCAGTCTTCTCCCCTGAATGGGAATGGAGAAGAAGTGAGCTACTAGAATACAAGGACTCTGTTTGATCCTATTTCAGTAGATTTCGGAGTAAATTAGAAGATATCGCTTGGGCCTTGTGCAGGTGACGAAATGAGTTCTGCTCCTTATTTAATAGCAGTGCAATATTGGCAAGTCTCACTGCACACTTGGGCCTCAGTTTCCCTGCCTATAAAGACAAAGCTTTGGACAAAAATGCTTTATAAAGCATTTTTTAACTCTAAGAGTCTCTAAATCCAGCAGAAACAATCACCAAGTCCTTATTTTATGACACATGATCATGACCAAGATATATTTCCAAGCACTCTTGCCATGAGAATACTAGACAGCAGGCAAGTGAAAGTACAGGAGCATTTGAGCATGAGGGTTTACCTACAAAGGCAAACATTTAGAAAGCTGCTAACTAGAGAGATTTGTTAGGCAGAACAGACCTCTTAAATGGGGACAGGGCAAGATTCTAGGCAGAAGGACAAGTAAGGAAGAGACTGTTACTTTCCGTATAAGTATGTAAAGAAGTGAATGTGAAAATGAAGGTAATTAGATTCTCCAAGCATGGGCTTGACATTAATACCATCAGCTTCTACACAAACTGGATTTAAGGCATTCGTAGAAAAATGTCCTGTTTCAGTGGCTGCCACCAAGGATATGTCTTGGAGTAACTGAATAGATGATCTTAAATAATCTTTGGTCAAAAATTGATGAGTATAGACCAAGAACTATATATATGAGGGTCCTTAAAAATTGATGAGTATAGACCAAGAACTATATATATGGGGGTCCATAAAAATTCAAAGAAAGGGCCAGGGATTTAGCTCAGCGGTTCCAGCGCCTGCATGGCAAGCGCAAGGTCCCGAGATCGATACCCGGTACTAAAAAAAAAAAATTCAAAGAAAGCCAGACCATAGCGGTGCACTCCTGTGATCCTAGCATTCTGGCTGAGGTAAGAAGATTGTCAATTTGAGCCTAGCCTGGCAACTTAGTGACTTAGTGAGACCTTGTCTCAAAAGTGAAAAAGGTATGTGAATGAGGCTCAGTGTAAAGGTCCTAGGTTCAATCCTCAGTTAAAAAAAAGAAGAATCAAAAGTGTGTGTCGATTTTAACAAGCCACCTATTTAGTCATTGTGTGTGGAGCTGTATTGAATATCCGGACTGTGTCAATGACAGTGAAGGAAGGAGGGGAAAACTCTGAATTAAGTTGTAACAGGGGCTTTGTTTTACATTAGTTTCCTCTGACCTACAGTTATTCATTTTAAAACACTATCTTAGATCAAACTGTAAAAATGAAAGAACACCTTCTGTTTCTGGAAATCTTGTCTGTTTAGAAAGCATACATACTTTTACCTACAGCAACTCTGTAGGGTGTGAAGGAATTATTCTTGCTCCTTATTTAATAGATGAGAGAAGTGAGTGAATGGTTCATCCACCCAGGGACATACAGAGCAGGACACAGAATTCCTGACCACAAGCCTTGGGCATTTTTCTCCCTCACATCTGACTGCCTGTGTTCACTAGTCAAAATTCAGCCCAATACAATGATATTTCCTTCCTTAAAAAAGAAATAGAACTGTTTTTTATGACTAGGAGAAGAGTTTGTGTTACTCCCAGAATAAGTACAGAATGCTTTTTAGGTAAGTCAGACTAAATAGACATCTGTTTTTCACAACATTCAACTCTACACAAACAGAACATGCTCAGTTTGCTTTGAAAGCCAAATACCATGTGTTATGACTTTACAATGTTTTAAATAAAGTTAGGAATTTAAGTTTATGATGCTGAACATATCATAAAATCGATGGGTATAAGACCAAGAACTATAAATATGAGAGTTCTTAAAAATTCAACAAGTTGAAAAATCAAAGGTAGACATTTCAACAAACCAGTTATTGAATCATTGTATTAGCAATCTAGTGAAACAAAGTGAATTATTAAAGTTTATACTCCTCATTGGTTTGTAACCCTGGGATTCTGTGTGTGGATAGCTTTTAAAGTGGATCAGTTCAGCCTAATGAAGCCATTTACTGTAGTTGTTCTGCACACTGTGTCTATTTCTCTCGTTATTACTTCATTTTGGGACTTTGATTGCTCTATTTTAGATCTAAGATTGTTCTAATGCTGTACAGCAGTTGTATGAGGGGTTTAGTTTTCACTTTGTTCTCAGAACCAGGCTGGCTATAAATTTATTTGAGTTCTTTGAAGAAGCTAACAGTAAATTCTCAAGAGGAAAAATGGTGGTGTATATCCCCATAGAGGAAAGTAATCTCTTAAAAGCAGAATAACCTCCAGGCTACCTCCTTTCAAAGAGGGACTTTCAAACAAGGACGGCTTCAACTTTTATATGTGTTCTATATTTTTCTTCAGGCTTTGTACCTGTTCTTCTGTTTTTTTGTGTAAGGTTTCACTGTAATGACCCTGTTTCTCCCCACACCCATTAAATCTGTGAAGTCATGCTGTTCCTCATTCTGATGTAATAATAACTTCCAGAGCTACAGCCAGCTAGCACATCCTGGGGAATCATCTGAGGTTTCCTCAGAAAAATGCGGCATAGCGACCAAGAATTGGGATTCTTACAAAAGTAAATCTCAGTTTCATATTTGCTGCATAGTAAGATGAAAATGAACTTTATTAAATGAAATCCATGAGAACATTTACATTTGGTTTAACTGCACTCAAAGTCATGTTCAATCTCAGGCATTAATTTCATTAAAATTCAACCAATCCTTCCCTGAAGTTCAGCCACACTCCTCTACCATCAAGGGAAATAGATGTGGAGCTAGCAGAAGTCTGGACAGGGCTGGGGAGAGTTCCAACCTGTGACATCATCCATCCTGCCTGTGCCTGCTGATGTCATGAGCCCTCCATGTGAGGGAGCAGAGAGCTCCCCAAGAGTGGAGACTGTTGACCAAAGTGAACCATCATGGACCAGTTAACTTGGCCAGCATGTTTTTCCAATGTTCTAGAAAATTTCTCATGCCATTTCCCTCGGCCTAATTGTCCTCTTTCTCATTTTATGCCCCTGCTAGACCACCGCTCTTGATAAGGAGAGGCAGGTTTTCCGACGAAGACGCAACCAGGATGTGAGGAGCCAGTACAAGGTGCAGCCAGCTCCACCAGAACTCAACTCGGAATCGGAAGACTACTCCCCAAGCTCCTCCGAGACTGTTCGCTCCCCCAACTCACCCTTTTAATGAGACCCTTTTACTTAAAGTCCTAGCTTAACCCTTTCAGACACTAGATTTTTTTCCCCCAAATTTCTGTAAAACAGTTTCATCTGATCTATCTAGCATTCAATGCTTGAATGGCAGAACAGAGAGCGTGTTTGGGGATACTTTTGTAGTAATTTCCCTTTTCTGAGTGAGACAGCACGTGGGGTTGTGAAGATGGTAATTTGTCACTAATAAGGTCCTTAAAGGGTTAAAGCTAACTTCCAATTTTTTAAACATAGAAGCAATGAATGTTTTCATCGGTCAAGCTAGGATCTGCAATATGTAATATAGCACATGTTAACCCTCTGAGTGCAGAGAATTTAATTGAGAATCTTTGCCAAGAATTTTTCAGGCCTTTGGGTGTAGACACACTTTTTTTTTTTTTTTTATTTTGCTGCAGATCAAGGAGTGCTATTAAGATGTTGAAATGTCCAGACAAGAAAGGCATCTAGAGTGATAACTTGATTGTTCTTTCCTATGGGTTTAGAACATGGCTGGTTTATACTTTAGCATATGCACCCCTTCTCCTTCACAATTCCATTAAAAAGGAAATCATTTTTCTTCAATATAACCATCTGCTGCTGTGGGTTGTACATACAGAATGGGCTTGTGACAAACGGCCTGACCCAAGAAATTGACAATACACCCTCCCCTGAAATTTTCTCTCCAGGAAGATGTATTGATGTTGCCCCAGAAATGCTGCTTCCACATTAGCTGCTGCTAGTGCCAGTGCAGACCCCAAGGCTTGTCTTGTGCTTGGTGAGTGAGGGTCTGTGTGCTCAGAATCAGACATCTGCAGAAAAGAAGCAACCAGTGGAAAAGAGCAATAAACTGCCAGGTGCTCTATGGGGTTGGAATTTCAAAAGAAAGAGGAGATAAGATCCTGTGCTTTTTTCTTACCTGCTTTTTCATGATACTGTGGTCCTCAGTGTGAAGCCCACATGTAGTGTGAAATCCATATATTGAAGAGCTGGGTTAGAGGCAAGTGCTTTGCAAAGTGGCTGAAAAGAAAGCACAGTGGAACACTATCCAGAATGGTTTCTAAGGAAATAAACTAATTACACTTTTTTTGTGTGTGGAACTGGGAATTGAACCCAGAGCCTTTGGAGTGAGCTGCATCCCAAGCCCTTTTTTGCTTTTATTATTTTGAGACAAGATCTTGTTGAGTCACTAAATTGCAGGGACTGGGCTCAAGCTTGTGAGATCCTTCTGCCTCAGTCTTCCAGAGTACTGGGATTATAGGAGTACACCACCACACTTGACTATATGTGCACACTTAGGTTACCTATTTAGTTTCCCATGAAGAGCAGGATATAATGCCCCAAAAATACCCCTGAGGATAAACTCGCATTCCCTGGGATGATTTTTTTAATACCACACTCTTTAACTGTCCAAGGAGACATTTTTCCCCCCTTTAGAGCCAATTCTGAGTGATATCTGTATTTTCACTTCTATTATAGAATCTCTCTCCAAGCCAGGATCTCCAGGCCTGAGTTTGATCTGGAACGTGGATTATTTCAGAGTGAGTGCCTGCTGCTTCCTGTTCACTATGGCAATACTCAGAGAGAAGAATATAGAGGTGTCTGAGTCAGGACCCAACTAATGTCCCCCACTAAAGTTTGCTCAGCTCTGTGACCCAGAAGACATCAGTCAGTGATACCTCAAAAATTTTAACTGGATAGCTAACAAGACTTATTTTATCAGTTTTAAATATATTTTAGTATCTGAGAGTATCAAAATTTCTGAATGACCTTTCTATTCAAAGTCACTGATTTTCAACTGCTGCTTTTTACTCTTCAGCACTTAAACTACAGTCTACATTCATAGAGATTTTTAAATCACAACACATCATTACCTTTGCAACACAGACTCCCAGATATCTTTCTCTTCTGCTTTAAGTCCAGAAATGATAACACATGAAATCATAAAGCAGCATAAATCAGTAGATCAGTTCAAAATGGTTTGAGGGGAACAGGGAATGGGACACAGAACACCAGGAATCATGTTAGTTCGTAGATAGATTACATGTTAGTAAAGGGTACTGACCTGATCAGAAATTGCTGCTTTCTCTGGAACAATAAGCAACACACTATTCCAAGGTTGAGTAGTAGCTATGTACTTGGCCACAACTCTAAATGTGTGAATGTAAAGAATCCTGTGGATAGAAACCTACTTGCAGTAGATTGTCATTTTCCTTTTTTTCTCTCAATTATTGCTTTTTCTGTGGGCATTATATGTGTTGCTACGGCATTCAGTGTCCACATCTACAGTGCATGGCGTAGGCCTTTTTCCACTGAAACCTGGGGCAATGCGGGAGTGTTTTCAGAACACGCAGAGCACAGCTCAGAGGAATGCAGGGCTCAGTCGGCATGATGATCATGGTGCATTGCTGTAGAATCTGAGTGATCTATGCTGAATAAACAGTGGAATATGACCTGTCAAGTAGAAATATTGAGTAATCAAATGAAATGCAATCTCTCTAGCACTAAGCAACCATGATCTTGAATGTCAGAGATGTACTCAGAGGGTTAACAGATAAGCACAAGGCATGCTGATGATGTTGGTGTATCCAGATTGCTTTGCTCTTAGCCAGTGCTTTCTAATTTTTTTTCTCAACATTCTTGGGATAGTTCAAGTTATAAATAATTAAGTGGTGGTGTTCTCTGAGGAATTTCTATAACCAAATTGATCTTATTTTTTACTTTATTATAGAACAAATATGTACAATTATGGCAGTGTATCTCTGTAATTATCAATTTAATCATCACCACAAGTGTTTCCATATTTTTTCCACGTATTTAATATAGCTCTTATGGTGGTGGCCTGGGAATGACAACTGTCTTTCTTTTACTGGCACATGACCAGCCATATGGTATTTTCAAGGGAATTTTACGAATCAGTTTTTCAGTTTGATAATAGACTAGTTAAGGAAGAACTCATTCATTACTTGCATCATGTAAATCATCTCTGTAGATAAGAACTGTTCATATTAATGAACACGTTTTTTTTCTCAGCATTGTAGCAGAAATCATTTTATTTCTCATGATTACTGAATATGTGATTTGCTCCAGATCATTAGAAGAAAAAGTAAGATTTCAGTGATGGAAAATGTTTTTACCGTAGCCCTCATCTAACTCACACGTGGTGCATATTAAAATAAGCAGAGAAAAGGAAATGTGAATAAACTACTGAAAACACTTTGTGTTTTGTATTCAATGAGACCTTCCTGCACCTCCTCAACACCCCTATGGGGGAGTGGTTAACAAGCCCATCAGATATTGTTGAAAGAAAGCAATATATCCATGAATGAAAGCTAAAATTGCAATCCTTTACCCTTTGAGGCATATTTCAGTTAGAAAAGAAAAAAGAAAAATTGACTTAGGGGGTCACAGAGCTACCGTCTGACCAAGGCTTGAGCACATTAAATCACCATTGTTTGCTGGCCAGTGGCATCCATTAGACAACTCTATCCCCTGTGCTGAAGCACGACTGAGCTGAGGGAGAGCTTTCTTAATGTTATTGTGTTGCCCCTAGCCCTTCTCTGGGTAAGGATCTGTCAGCATTTCCATGATAAACTCCTATTCTCAAAGGTTTTTAATTTAACCATAAAAATGTGCCTGAGGCTGAAGTTCGCTATCCAGGACCTATGCCAGAGTGAAGGTACACTTCCTTCTCTTCCCAAATTCTTCCCAATTTTCCTGAGAAAAGAACAACAACAAAAGAATCTGGCATGTCTCCTTAATTGTGATGTCAGAATTTTGGAAAGACCCAAGATTGAAGAAAGTAGTTTAAATGTAATTATTCATTTGGATGTGGTTTATTTTTTTCTTTCAAGGAATCACCTGGCATATATTTAGATAGCATCTTTTCTATAATTTGTAAGTCATTCAAATTACATTCGTACATTATTTTTTTTGTTCAAAGATTTTTTTAAAAAACTGAAAGTTGGCAATTTAAAGGCCAGCCTTTCCCACATGTAGTCTGCCATTTCCATTAGGAGTTTGAGAAAATACTCTCAAATATACCCTTACTTTGCATGCAGTGTAGAGGGTTTGCTATGTGCTTCTTTGGAGGTAAAGGTTTCCTTGTTTAATCACCAAATTTCATGAAATCGTGCTAGCCTGTGGGAGAAAACAGTGATTAAAAGTATTTCCAAAAGTAACATTTTTCTTAATTCAGATACAAGGACAGTGTAAAACAGCACCCACACTTTTTTGTTTGTTTAAAGGCAAGTAAATCATTGAAACTTGAGGACACACTAAACATTTGATTACTGAAAAGTGCTTTAAAAATCGGCTCAATGGTGCTTATACATGGAACAAATGGGGTCCCTGGGACTGCCAGAAGGAATCTTTAGTTTGTATGCCATTACGTACTAAAGAAGGACGTGCTTTTAGGCCAGTCTTTTATTTTTTAATCATCTCAGATATGCAAGCATCTATCTAGTAACATTAAGGGTCATAACCTGGTAGGAAACGGGATATTCAAGGCAGAGGTTTAGAAGCCCCCTGGTTGGGATGTTTTGTTTGTTTGTTGTTATTTTTGGCTTCAACACTGAGGCTGCTGTGATCATTTTTCAGTGAGTGAGCATTTAACTGGCAAGTGTTTTAATCATCAGGTTTGCAGTATATTGCCCATGGAGACAAACGAAGGACAGTCTAATTTCATTCTTTTTCCCTAAAGGAAAAATAATCTCTAAAATTAAACCATACCTGTAAATTTCTTCAATATTCTTTTTTGATTAACTAAACTGAGACCCTTAATGTTGCTTTAATGTAAAATTGTATATTTTTGTCTGTGATATACTTTATTAATTTAAAGTAAGTAATAGTTTTAAAGCTGTCACTGTTGTATTAAAAGAAAGTAGCATTTTAAAAGTGATGTTAAAGATTCTAATAATATCAATTCATTCCAGTCGAATCAAATGTAGTAAGAAACATAGCTTGAACAATACTCTAGGGGCAATTTCTCACTTGCCATTGACATTAATCTTTGGTGTATTCTCAGAATAAATAAAAAGAAATTGAAACTGGTCCAAGGTTAAAGTCATATCCCAATAACTTTTTAAAAAAATTTATTAGGAAATTAGTAATAGTCTTTTTCATTCTGGCTGAAAGAAAATTATTAAAGGATTAGTTGAGTGTGAAATTAAATAGTATTTTGGTCATGCATACTAAAAAGGTGGGCTGGGAACTTGGTGCGTTTAAACTAGTTTCCAAGAGGTTTCGATTTAGTAGGAGAAAAATTCAATGTTTCCTTTGAAATTACTGAATTTATTAGTTGCTGCATGGGTCAGATGGCGTAGGTTAATCTTTGATTTTCAGAATCCTAATTAAATAACTTTCAAACAATTTGTATTTATGATTAAAGATGGAATGAGATCCAAGTTTTTCCTAATCCTTCAGTTTAAGCTAATAAATGTAGGTTAATGTGGAATGAAATCATCTGTGATATATTATGTTCATTTATCAACCAAGCTTTTCTGATGTTGCCTGTTTTTATGTAAAACATGTTCTTAAAGTTAATAAAATAATAGTTCTTGGTGTATGAACTACTACGTAATACCCTAGCTGCTAGGTCTACTCTTTAGTTCACGTTGCCATAATGGAGTGAAATTTCATTTCAGTTCAATTCAGAACTGACACATTCAGTCCACGAAGGAATAGCCCAGCTGTGTTCTTGGGGGGAATTCTCTCAATGCAAGGCTTTAAAAATTAGTCATGCGGTCAAAGTGTAGCTTTCCCACATGTCCTCCATAGCACAGTGTGTATTTCATGAGCATAATTCAAAAACAACTATTCCAAAAATGTCCCTTTTCATATATTACCTTCCTGCCTGGGCCAGAGACTTGGATAAACACAAAGAAATCAAATACCATTCAGCCCTGTTTTATCCTTCAACCTATGTGCATAAGCTCTCCAGAGAAGAGTGTTGTTTTAGCCACTAACCTGTAATTAGCTGCCATTTTTATAGCAATATCCCATTAGACATTCCATGTGCAATATTGACCTTAGAGAAAATTGCAAAACTGTAGTGGCATAAAGTTCTTTCCTATTGAGCTTTCCATGCTAGGAGATTGAAAACTCAGACAGCAAGAATGATTGCAAGTCCCCTGGCATCTTAGGAAGGTGCCAGAATATCCCTAACTTGTAAAAGTAGCAGCCATCTTCCCTGCCATCCACAGGCTGCTGTCTCACCTTTTGCTCTTCTGTACAGAAGACACTAGGTCCTTTCTAGACTTCTGGCAACTGTTGTGAAATAATAACCAAACGATTGCTTCCTAAGGACCATTACATTGCTTTATGAGGCTAGCAGCCTTGCCAAAAACCTGCCATCAGAAAAATGGGCTCTGACATGAAAACCTCAATCACAGCTCTGGGACTGAAGATGATAAAACCTTCACATACGGGAATTGGGAAGGAAAGACTTTCCATGACTCCTGGCCATTTGGACTGGGAATTGGAAAGGTGGTACTCGGTACATATATAGAAGGCAGTTAGAAAAATAGAAGTAAATGGGTTATAAGAAACAGGTACAGGAGCACCCTGGAAATTTTCTTGTAGCATCTCCTATATGGAAGAAAGGCTTTGCTCTATCATAGAAGGTAGCTCACTTCCCCCAGATCCAGGAAGAGGGCTAAGAAAACACAAGGCGCCACACCCAGCCAGCTGGATCAGCCACATCCACGCTGGCCATCAGCACTGTGACAGATGTCCCAGCCAGCTTGCCTGCACTTCCAAATCATTCATTCAAATGTTTCTTGAGTGGATGCCAACACCATGGAAAGCACTTCATTTAGGCTTAGAAGAAAAGGAAATTTCTGTTGTCCATTTTTATTTTTACTATGGAGCAAAAGACTTTAAAGATAAGGAAAAATATTACGAGCTGCAAAGTATGCCATTTACTAAGACTCTTACTTCAGATTATGTATGCACCCACACTCAACAAGACCTTGTATTTTTATGGTAGCTTTGCTCCTCTAACTAGAAGATGTGTGTTTACCATCTGCCTGTTCGATGGTACACACGCCCCATGGTGCTCTTGGCTTGGCTCCTGGGCTCAGAGGTAGAAGGCTTCCCAGAGTTCTCTCTGTCATCTGTAATTGTCATGAGATTTTAACCTCTTATCATATATTAATATGTGCACAATGTTCATCAATCCAGTATTAACAAGGACCATCTATGAGTGACACACAATATAGGCTAAGATAAACAAGATACAATTCTTCTTTTTAAGGTTCTTATCTTAAGTAGAAATCTTCTACCTTGGATGTCCACAGGGTAGAGTGACTGATTTATCACTCACAGATGGACAAACATCAGTTTGTCAGGGGGGCCAGAGATCCCCAGCAGCCCGAGACTGACTCTCAGCATGTGTAGACTGTGCAGACTGCCTGCAAGCCAGCCATCAGTCACATGCAAATACATTTCTGGGCCACTCCATTACAACAATTCAAATGTCTTCCTTAGGCCTCTTGAAGAAGGGAAAGAAAGGGAGGGAGAAAAGGAGGGAAGGAAGAAATAAAGGCTGATGAGAGTAAAGTTGCTACAGTCTTAAGACCTGTAGTATCATTTAGAGAGTCCAAAAGGAAAGGATCTGTTAAAGTCTTAATACATGTTCCTCAAAACTAATCCTAGTGGATCCTCTGTGGGAATTGTAAAGCTTACCTTGGTATGGTTTAATGTGGCTCTTGGTCTCTTCTATATTCTTCATTGAGGAATGGAATTTCCCCTGTGATAAGATGAATAATAATAAAAAAATACCACAAAAAACCCAAACAAACAAACAAAAAAATACCACCAATGGTTCCATCCATGCATCCCGTTGGAAGCAGGAGGTTGGATATTTCCTAAGAAGCTTCTAATTCCCTCACGTCCTTGTTCATTGTTCCTGGATCTTCAAGATTCTCTTGAAGGACACACATACACATACACATACATACACATACTACCCACATACACATAGGAGGACACAGCCTGGACCTACACTGCTGAAGAGAGTTTCAACTTGGGGAGCCCCCTACACAATCTCTACCTACCATCTGCCACCCAAGGTGAACCATCTATTCCCATCTCAAGGAGTTCCTATCAAGTGTCAAGCCTTCTGCTGAGCCCTGAGGCCACAAGATAAAATACCTATCTCCTTTCTAATGCTTACAGGCTCAGGTGGGAAGCAAGTAGATGGACAGTAGCCATTCAGCATAACCAGGGCTGTAACAGAAAAAGCATGGGATAGAACACTTGGGAATCACTTTGAAACTTATCTAACTATGGTGGGACATTCACAGAAGGGTTTGCGGAGAAGACACTCATATTAGTCTGCTTTCAGTTGCTAATAACAGTACAACTGGGCAAGTTATAGAGAAAGGGGCTTATTTAGGCTTACAGTTCTGGTCCAAGGTCAAGGAGCCATATCTAGTGATGCCAGCCTTCTTGCTAGCAGAGTACCAGTGTGGCCCAGGCCATCACATGACAAGAAACAAGGAGCATGCATGTGTGTATGTTGATCTTCTGGTCTCTCCTTCCTATAAAGCCATCAGGATTCAATCATAAGGCACCACCCAAATGACCTTATATAATCCTAAACACCTCCAAAAGGTCCCACCTCTAAACACTGTAGGTGGATTAAGTTTCCACTCTCCTAATACCTCACAATGAGGATTAAATTTGAACTCATGGAGCCTTGGGGGACTCACTCAAATCATAGCAGAGTTCTGGTGAGGGCCTGGGAGACAAGCAGGGATCAGCCAAGAGAAATAGGAGGAAGGCATTTCAAACCGTGGGAACAGTCTGCACAAACACTTGCTCCATGGAGGAGCTCAACATCATTAAAGTAGAGGCTTAAAGTCAACCCCACTGAGGCCAGAGTGTAGCCTAGGGAGCTGGGCCTCACAAACCCTCAGCTGTCCAGCCTGAGCAGTAGTACAGCCCCATCTCCTAGCTCTATGAGTGTGCCCAGAATGTGTTAGGTAAATGTGAAAATGAAATAGGCCCAGATGTCAGTCCCCCAGGCTGGCTGAGGAAGAAGTAGAGCAAGGTAGGTACCTCCAGGGGAGCATCAGAGACCCCCAGGCTCTTGCTGAAATGCCCTGGATCCCAACTGCTCCCTCTCGGTGACGCAGAGGGCACCCTCCCAGTGCAAACAAAGAAACAGCCATATGGTAATCCTTCCCTGTAACAG